TTCTTTTTAAAAAATATGTTTTAGTTGTAGATGGATACAATACCTTTATTGAACCCAGCCAGTGCCTCACACATGCTAGACGAGCACTCTACCACTGAGCCACAACCCCTATCCCTGGTCCATTATTTTTGACATAATATGCACTTTAAATCTTACAACCCTGATTCATAGACATTACCATATTCATTTTATAGCTGAGAAAACAAAACAAAGAATTTTGTTAGTTGTTTTAGAAAAAAATTATAAGCTTGAAGATTATTCACAAAAGAAACCAACATTTGCATAGCAGAAACTGTTGGTTTTCTACCAAAATGAACTGCTGTCTCCTTCCTGTATAATAATAGGGGTTAAGCTTGTGTGCTATGTCTTATTAGAAACTATACTTCCCAGGCTTCCATGTAGCTAAGCATGGCCATATCACCGTTTTCACCAATGAAATGTGAATGGAAATAACTTGTAAACATTGCTGTAGTTCTTCTTGCTTAAAAGGAAATTGCTCTCTTGTATTCCCCCCCCCTTTTATTTCTTCTTTCTGTGAGCTGAAACTCGGATGTGCCTGCAACCATCTTCCACCAAGAAGGAAAAGACAAGACCCTTAACACATTGCTATTCAAAAGGGTCATTTTTGGACTATGAATATTAGTGTCTCTTGAGAGCTCATTAGTATTTTAAACTACCCAACACCTGTGGAAAGAGAATCTGCATTTTAACAAGATCCCAGGTGATTTGAGTTTATATTCAACTTGGAGACACCCTTCTGCAGCAGGTAGTGGAGCCGCTTTATGGGTAGAAAGTATGATGGTCTGTAAACAACCTTGCCTTTGCTCTCCCCTGACTCCTCCATAACCTTCTAGCTTCTTTAATTAATTAAATCTTGAGGCCTCTTTATCATACCCAGCATACATTCACTTTATATAATCTGCATCATCTGTTGACCCCAAAATAGGTTTTGCATCAATTTTATGAAATACTTATGAAAGTATTTTTTAAAAGAAAGTATTGTTCTAGGCCATCTCCCTCTCCCCCCTTCATGTATATACGTGTGTATATATGTATACACACAAATATGGAGGATCCTAAATTACTTAAGGCTGGGCTTTTTTTTCCTAGAAAGACATAACTTAATAGACAGCAACATCAGAACATTAGAATGATACATGATAAAAAAGTCTAGTGGATGTTTACTATTTTTATTTATGATTGTCTCTAGTAGACAGAATAATACTTCTGAAAATACACCCATGTCCTAATCTCTTGAACCTGTGAATGTTACCTTCCAAAAGAGACTTGGTGATGTGGTTAAGATGAGAAGATTATCTTGGATTATCCAGGTGGGACCGATGTAATTACAAGGGACCTTATAAAGAGAGAGGCAGTGGTCAGAGAAGTAACTGCTGAAGTTGGAGAGATGGCATTGCAGGGACAGAGTTGAAGATATAGACAGCTTCTGGAGTCTGGAGAAGGTAAGGGACAGATTCTCTAGAGCCTCCACAAAGGCTATAGACTCAACCCATTAAGGTTAAGACCATTCTTGGATGTCTCTTCACCAAAGCTGTAGGATGATAAATTTGTACTGTTTTAAGCCACTAAGTTTATGGTAGCTGGTTATAGTAGCCAGGGAAAATTAATACATGGCCTTTTTTTTCTTCTCCATTTGAATAGTCCATGCCCCATCCCTCAATGTGTCTGGATGGGAAGCTGAGCCTGAAATTCATTTCATTATAGGCTTAGAGGGTAAGGGAACATTGGCCAATTACATATTCTTTCTCAGGGCACAATGTTGAGGGAGTGATATAAACACAAGATTCGAAATGTTCCAGGGTGACTGGAGTGGGCAGGCTATTTGTATGACATGATCTTGCCTTTGCTCCCTGCTGTCCAACTCTCTTGATTCCTAATCCATTTTTTCTGTGCTGCTTTCCTGGTTTTCTTGTTGATGATGATATCTACCCTACATAATTTTCGTGTGTGTGTGTGTGTGTGTGTGTGTGTGTGTGAATGTGTGTATGTTGTTGCTGGGATTGACTGTACAGTGCTCTACCACCAAGTACATTCCCAACCCTTTAAAAAAAATTTTTAAGTTGTAGATGGACACAATACTTGTATTTTTATGTGGTGTTGAAGATCAAACCCTGGGCCTCACAAGTGCCAGGCAAGTGCTCTACCACCGAGCTATAACCCCAGCCCTCTTTTAAAAAATTTGAGACAGGGTCTTGCTAAAATAACCCAGGCTGGCCTTGAACTTGTGATTCTTCTGCCTCAGCCTCTTGAGTGGCTGAGATCACAGGTGTGTGCTATCATGCTGGGCTGCTACACTATATTATACCAACCAATTATCTAGTTTCTCCTGTTTCCAGTTAGGTGCTCCAATTAAGGAAAAAAGTTATGGAGCTAATATGTGCATGTTTTAACATTCCTATACATACTTTGTTCTATTTGGACGAGACCTTTATTTAATTCATTTTGCACCCATAACTTCTATTTTACATGTCCGGGTCACTACATGCTAGTTGAATAAAAGAAGAAAATAGCTAATAATGTAAGACTATTTGATAGGCAGGAAGGGGCAATCATGGGAGTAGGCTTCAAGTTTTATCTGAAAGATTTAGCAATAAACAGAGACTTTAAAGTTGGACAGAATTTCTTTTAGCAAGATGAGCACAGGGTATTCTAATCAATAAACCACAGGTAGTTAGTTCACTATATATTTTAATAGCCTTGTTTATTTATTCATAAACATGCTTGTTGAGATCTTACCAATATATTCATTATTTAAAGAAGTCCACCTTACAAAGAGGAGTCTATCCATTAAATATAGGTAGAACAGGGCTTATTGCGGCTATCTACAACCCTCTTTGACACAATGGAAGGCTAATTCTGCAAATTTCCTTTTTTTTTTTTTTTTTGGTACCAAGGATTGAACCGAGAGGGGCTTAACCACTGAGCCACATCCCCAGCCCTTTTTTTATTTTTTATTTTGATACAGTGTCTTGCTAAGTTCCTTAGGGCCTTACTAAATTGCTGAGGCTGGCCTGGAACTAGCTATCCTCCTGCCTTAGCCTCTTAACCCCCTGGGATTACAGGCATACATCAAGGCACTTAGCTCTGCAAATTTCCTTTTATGCTCCCTTTCAGTTGCTAGAATGGTTTCACAGCTCCTATCTATTTTAAATTTAGCTCAACAGATCACCAGAGAGGCTGAAAGAAGTTAGCTATACCAAAGGAGACATTGTGGTGCTGAAAACAAACTTGATCTAGAAGGTCATGTATAGAAAAACTGAGCTTAAAGTGAAGCCAGAATTAGACAAGCAGTCTGTATAGATAGGTAAATCAAGTCAGGTTGGATCAAGGAGGCCAATTTGAGTGAGTTCAGAAAATTGGAGAGGGATTGAAATGCTAATGCCTTCAGCGCCCTTCCTCCACCCTTATCCAGATAACCTGCCCCTGCTCCAACCAGTTGCTATGATAACCTGTCCAAGGGATTGTCCCTCCTCACCTGCCAAGATCATGCCACCTTGGCCCCTCTGGCCCATTTGCTTCTCACCTTTTGGTGATCTCACTGAGCATCTCCTGGGCAGGAAAGAGACAGATAAGGGAAGAGAGCAGGAGAACAAAGGAAGCCTAAGACATATAAAAAGGCAGGTCACCCTCACTTCTTGAGATACCAGGATACCAGCCATGGCCCTCTACTCCCTCCCAGGAGAAGTCTATGTTACCCCTTTCAAATAAACCCTGCTTTATATGTTTGCCTCAGTGTGCTTCTCTAATGTTATAATTCAACATGTGAGGAAGCAGGACTTGTCACTGGTAATGGGTGGTATCTAAAGTATGTTGCTTTCATATCCAATTCTCATAGCATCAAATAATGCCCAAGTACCTAACAGCCAAGATTCATGTCTATAATGATGAGGAAAACCACATTGAGAAGTGTGATCAGAGTTACTAAGGGAACATTTGGGTGCAATGGGAGTGCAGTTTAGAGAATGATTTGCACTTGCACCYTTACATCTTTAGGTCTCCCTATCAACTTCAACAAGTGGCAGCAAAGACTTTTCCATAAATGACCTATGCAGTATATATTCCACGTCATTCCCCACAACCTTAGGGGCTAAATCCCGGGACCCCTACTGCTGAGCTCCATCCCTAGCCCTTTTCATTTTTATTTTGAGACAGTCACTACCTAAGTTGCCCAGGCTGGCCTTGAACTTACATTCTCCTGCTTTAGCCTCCTGAGTAGCTGGGATTACAGGCCTGCACCACCACTCCAGACATATGCACTGTTTTTAAAGATCTATTTTAGAGAACTATATTACCAGACATTTGCAAAACAGGCAATAAAGCTACCCATAGCCTGCTTCTGTAACCATGCCCTACGAACCCCCTTGCAAGTCTTTACTGTTATAATAACAACTATACATTATCTAATAAGTGATATAATAGTTATTATTTATTTCATACTGTGCTAAGTACCTTCTTTACATAACCTAATTTAATCTCCAAAACAATCAGAATGTAGACACTATCATTTCCATTATATAGATAAACTATGGCTCTGAGTCCTACAGCTAGTAAGAGCTGGGATTTAGAATAAGTCCTTGTATGATCACTAATTTTATGTAGGTACAATCACGATGCTCAATACATTTTAATCCCCTTAATAAATGTGACATAGAGCAAGGCCCCTCAACTCCCAGCTCCCTAGCTGGGTACGTGAAAAACAAAAAATCTCTGGTTGCAATGACCCACCATTTTTGAAAACAGGGAAAAGTCCCTTTTTAAAATCAGACAGCCAGGGGTAAGGCAGGTTCCCATTCAACCAGCGGGGCGGGCGGGGCCTCGTGGACCACGCGGTCAGKCAGCCCGAGCGGGCGTCCAGTGCGCAGGCGCGCACCTGTTCCGGCGGCTGGGGCCGCGTGCCCACGGCCCGCCCCTGCCTCGCTCCGCCTGTCCGTCTCCCGCCTCCGCCCGGCTCCAGCCACCCTGCAGGCTCCGCCCCTGCCCTCTCGGCCGSGTCTCCTCCCTGCAGTCTCTCTCTGTGGGCGAACTGCGTGCTGCTGCGTCATCGCCAGTGGCCGGTTTGAATGAGACTCGTCGCACCCGAGCCGCCACCACCGTGCTTCCACCTCGGCCGCCTCCACAAGCTTCTTCTGGTCCCTTTCCCTGCGCGGTCTTTGCCAGGACCAGCCTTCCTACGCCACCACCTCCCTGCGCACCCCCGCCATGCCACTGTACTCCGGTGAGCTCCCTCCTCGCCTCTTATCTCTCTCGGGGCGGACGCTTAGGCCTCCACGTAGGCCTAGCCTGCAGAGGCGGGCGCGGGGCATGGACTGGGGGAGCGCCAGGGTGGGGTGCGCTGGGTGGCTGCAGAGCGGGGACGACCCTGGCACTTTCCCCTCCCTGTTGCGACGGAGACTTGCCACGCGTGGGAGCCGCCTGCTGGGTGGGATGGGAGCCGGAGTAGAGATGGGGAAGCTGCTCCGAGTCATGACTCTGCAGAATAGTTTGTCGCTGTCCTAGTGTGCTGTGGAAGGTGAGGGTGTGTCCTGGGGTGCCAGGGACCAGGCTGCAGGTGCAGTGCTAGTCCTTTGGGCTTCTTGGTGGCAGCTGCGGAAGGAAGTGGGGAAAGAGGGTAGGGATGGAGGGACTCAGGGGTGTTAAGAGTGGCCTTCATCCTCCTTGGGGTTGATAGCTGCCCTTTGCTGCCTTTTGGCTCAGCTGCCCCCTTTATGCCCATTTCAGTTCTATTCCGAGGCAGATTGAAAAACCTGTGTATTTACTTATTCGTTTTCATTTCATCATATATTGTATTGGACTTCTGTAACCAAAGTGTTGTGTTAGCTTTGAGAGGTAGACGAATGTAAATATCCGCCAGCGTGTTTTTTTTAATATATATACTTATTTTCTAGCTTTAGGTGGACACAACATCTTTATTTTATTTTTATGTGGTGCGGAGGATCGAACCCAGCGCCCCACGCATGCCAGAGGAGCGCTACTACTTGAGCCATATTCCTAGCCCTCCGCCCTCGTTTTTGTTTGGCATTTGACAGGACTGGTTTGCTTTATGGCTGCCTAACATGTTTGTTGACCAGGAATCACATTTTTATTTACTTAATGGACCTACTGTTTTCCAGTCTTATTCAAAATGGCACCTAACGTGTATAATGGCCCTAATTAGGTATGGATATGTGATTTATTGACTGTYCCTTACCCGACTGTGTCATATTTCCTTTAAGGTTCAGGATTTTCAGTGAATCAAGAGTACTGTTTAATCTCTAGCTGGATTCTTGATGGTCTAGAATTTTGAATCCAAGCTTTAATAATAATTACCCAACCCTTTTCTAAAGCCACAGCTTGAAATATCCTATCTTGAAATGGGATATGCAGTATTAAATTGAGGGGGCATTAATTAAATAATGGTTGATAAAGAAGACTACCTACTAACACATTGGTAGGTTTATAAACATACAACAAAACCAATCTTTCTCTTTATTCTTGCAAAAAATGCCACAATAGATTCTAACTTAAAAATTTAGTTCTGTGTTAAATATTTAATCAGATCTTTTTCTCATTCCCAACATGTAGGTATTGAAGTAAATTTCAAAGGTCCCTTCCATTGACATCTCCATGTTGAGAGTCTGTATTTTCAAGATCAGCAAAAAGCCTTATATTAAAATGAAGAGAACATTTTAAGTACCATTTCTTAAGTTTTACTATCTAGATTCTTAAATGATTAAAGATAAGTATGATAAAGATTATTGAACACCCAATGTAAGCTGGATTTTTTTTTTTTTTTTTTTTTTTTTTTTTGTACCCAGGGATTGAACCCAGGGGCACTCAAACACTGAGCCATATCCCCAGACCTTTTTTTAAAAAAATTTATTTAGAGACAGGGTTTCATTAAGTTGGTTAGGACCTTTCTAAGTTAAAAAAAAAAAAAATATATATATATATATATACGTATATATATATATATATATATATATATATACATATATATATATATAATTTAGTTTTAGGTGGACACAATATCTTTATTTTATGTGGTGCTGAGGATCGAACCCAGTGCCTCACACATGCCAGGTGAGCGCGCTACCACTTGAGACACATCCCGAGCCCCCTTTCTAAGTTTTTGAGGTTGGCTTCTGAGCTGCTGGGATTACAGGCATGGGCCACAGTGCCACGCCATGTGAGCTGGGGTTTTATATGCTTTGCCTTGTTTTAATCTTTAACATAATCCTGTGTTACTGGTATGATTTTTCCTTTTTGGATAAGCAAAAAGTTTAAGAAGGCCATCCATGGCTGGTGACACAGCTAAATAAATTTTAAATAGGTTTCTCTGGTTCGTCCCTCTCTATGTCAACTGTCTCTCAACTAGGCAAGCACTCTGCCATTGAGCTAAACCTTCAGCACTTTTTTTTTTTTTTTTTTTCCTGGCCTGGCCTGGAACTTGAGATCCTCTTGCCTCAGCTTACAGGCATGTGCTGTAGGACTGGCAATTTCTAATATTATTTTGATTTAATCTTATATCATCTTTAGCTTGGCTTATTTTTATACCCTCCCTCCTCGCCAACTGAACCCAGGGCTAGGGAAGTGTTCCACTACTAAACTACGTCCCCAGCCCTTTCTTTTAGACAGAGTCTTGCTAAATTACCTGGTCTGGCCTCAAACTTGAATCCTTCTGCTTCAGCTTCCCAAGTATCTTGGGATTATAGGCATGTACCACTGCATCTGACTGTATGTTTCTTAATTTTTTTTTTTTCTGTTGTTAGGGAACAAACCCAGGGCCCAGAACATCCTAAGCAGGCTCTCCAATTCAGAGCTACATCTCTAGCCCCCTATTATTGTATTTCTATTTTCTTAGTGATTACAGTTATACCACCTGCAAATTGATTTTACCTGCTACTGCTAAAGTAATCCAATACTATTCAAAACCAGACCAAGATATCCTTTATGAAAGTCTTTCAGGGATTACACATAGCCTACAACATAGAACTCACATGTGTGTTCTAGTTTGACTTACATATCTTCCTGACTTGATCCTTAGCTTCAGTTTGATTTGCTATTTCCCCTTCACTTTGGGGATTTTTTACATTTTGGAAAGCACCATATTGTTCTATGCTATTGAATATTTATCTCATCTTTTTTTTTAATGTTTATTTTTTAGTTTTAAGTGGACACAATATATTTTTTTTATGTGGTGCTGAGAATCAAACCCAGTGCCTCACGCATGCTAGGTGAGCGCGCTACCACTTGAGCCACATCCGCAGCCCCTATCTCATCTTTTAGCAAAACTTTTTTATTCTTTGGCTAGCTCTGAATTTTTTTCTGATGGCCAGCCAGTTATGGTGGCATATACCTGTATCCCAGAGACTCTGGATGCTAGGCAGGAGGATCATGAGTTCAAAGTCAGCCTTAGCAACTTATCAAGGCTGGGGATGTGGCTCAGTGTGGTTAAGTGCCCCTGGGTTCAATCCCCAGTAACAAAAACAACAACAAAAACAACAACAACAACAACAACAAAAGTTGATGGTCATAATTCCAAAGTTAGCAGTTCTTATAAAAAAATCCTTTCTTGTTCATGAAGCATTCCTCTGTATTCCATACCTTTATAATATATAATAACATTATTGTGTAATTTATATAGTAAGTATATATAGGTTCTGTGCTTGTCAATTAAAGTGAGTGCTTGATATAGTCAATTAACTGATGGTAGAACTGGAAGCAGGTTTTCAAATTCTGATTTCAGAAGTTTGAAATCAGAGAACTATTAGTTGTGAGATTCTCATTTTTAAAGATATAAAATTTTCAATGGAAACAATGTGTATCCTTGAGTTTATTATTACTTGTTTTAAAAGTTAGCTGTTTTATGAGGCTGACCAAGATATATATATATATATATATATATATATATATATATATATTTTAGTTATGTCTTTATTTTACTTTATGTGGTGCTGAGGATCAAACCCTGACCAAGATATTTTTATTGGAGTAAAATATATGTAACAAAATTTACCATCTTAACTGGCTGTTGCCCTTCTCTGACAGCTTCGTAAGTTGCCAAGACTACAGGCATCAGCCACAGCACCCAGCAACTATCTTAACTGTTTTTTTATGAATAGTTTGATATCAGTATATTCACATTTTTCTACAACCATTGTTATTGTCTCTCTCTAGAAATTTTATATTCTAAAAGTGAAACTCTGTACCCATTAAATAAAACTCCCCATTTCTTCTTACCCTACTTGATGACAGGGGATGTTCTCTTCTTGTCTTTATGAATTTGATTACTCAGGGTACCTCATATATGTGGAACCATATAGTATTTGTCTTTTTAAAAAAATATTTATTTTTTAGTTGTAGTTGGACACAATACCTTTATTTTATTTATTTATTTTTATGTGGTGCTGAGGATAGAACCCAGAGCCTTGCATGAGCTTAGCTAGTGCTCTACTGCTGAGCCACAACCCCAGCCCAGTTTTGTCTTTTTAGGACTAGCTTATTTCACATAACACAGTGTCTCCAAGATTAATCCATGTTGTAGTATATGTAAAAATTTCATAAGGCTGAATACTGTTCCATTGTGGGTTGTTGTGAATAATGCTGCTATGAACATGTTGAATATCTTAATTCTGAGTTTATTTTTTTTGAAGAAATGCCAGATTGTTTCCCACAGTGGCTGCCATTTTATATTTACATTAGCAGTGTACATGCGTTCCAGTTTTTTCCATACACTCATTAGCACTTGTTCTGTTTTTTAAACAAACAATTTTTAAAAAACCAGTAGTACTAGCCATCCTAATAAATGTGATATGGGATTTTTATATATTTTTTTTAGTGATTAGGTATATCTATAGATTCTTAATATTTGAGCATTTCTTGCTCAGGAACAACACCTATAATCCTTGGCCTATTCTCAGTATACTTTATTCCAAGATTTTCTTGTCTCCTGATAAACTGTATAACCTTTCTCTCCTCCTTTTGTTCCAACAGTATGTATTGATTCAAATAATTCTTWGGATAAACACTTCACGAAGGCTGTGAACCTCTTTATTCTGGGAAATTGTTCAGTTTGAGTGTGATGAGAAATCCACTTCAGTCTGCAGAGATTTCTGGAGTAGGATTTAGAAGACTTGGATATTTCTTGTAGTTGTTGCTGCAGAATTGAGTATTGAACCTAAGGGTGCCCTAGCACTGAGCTACATCCCCAACCCTTATTTTTTATTTTGAGACAAGATCTCCCTAAGTCTCCCAGGTAGGCCTTGAACATGGGATCTTTCTGATTCAGCCTGTCAAGCAGCCAAGATTACAGTCATGTGCTATTGCTGTTGTGCCTGGCAAAACTTGTATATTAATTAATTAATAATTAACTAATTTTGTGATATTAGTCAATTCAAGTCTCATGTTCCAATATTTATATAATGAATGAGAAGTTAGAGTCAGTAAAATTTTATTCAGGTCAGACTGCGTGCATATATTTCTTGATCAGGTAGATATTATGAGCATAAAAAGATGAAAGGGCATAGTTTGACTTTCAAGAACTAGCTCAGTGGGTGATCCCAGAGGGTTTTCTAAATCTGAAATCTTTTGTTTTTGGTACCAGGGATTGAACTCAGGGGTGTGTAACCACTGAACCAAGTCCCCAGACCCCTTCCTCCCTTTAAAAAAAATATTTTATTTAGAGGTGGGTTCCCCCTGAGTTGCTTAGGGTTTTGCTTAAATGCTGAGGCAGGATTTGAACTCAAGATTCTCCTTCCTCAGCCTCCCGAGCTGCTGGGATCACAGGCGTGTGCCACTGCAACTGGCTTAAATCTGAAATCTTATAAATGAAAAAGAATTTTTTTTTTTTAATTTACAGTTACTGTAAAATGGGGAAAGGAGAAATTTGAAGGTGTGGAATTGAATACTGATGAACCTCCAATGGTGTTCAAAGCTCAGCTTTTTGCACTGACTGGAGTCCAGCCAGCCAGACAGAAAGTTATGGTGAAAGGAGGAACCTTGAAGGTAAAATTTAGTTGAGATTTTCTTTATATGCTATCATTATATAATTAGTGAAAATAATTAATACTAAGAAATCTGTTTAGTGTTAATATACCATTTATAGTACTTTTTTACTCACTGAAAATATATAATTTTATGGGTTTAAAGTTCTGTTYGTATTTATGTTGCGTATGGGAGGAACGTTGTGCCTATTTCAAAACATAAAAGTATCACTTTAGATTTTATTTTGCAATTAGATGTCTTTGAATGTTAGGGGAGTGGGATATTTTATAATTATTGGTATTAGTATTATTCGACTTGCTTTCCTATGAATACTTATTAAAAGTATTTAATTTTGTTTGACCAATATAAAATTTATTTCTGTAGTAATTTTAAGTTAATAGAGATGGAAAATTTTCTCTCTTAAAAACATGCAACAATATGATTAGATTTGTTTTCTTTTTAAAATAGTAAAAAATGTATTGTACATGAACTTAAATGTTAAAATTTAAAGTTCTTAAACATCTCTTCCAAAACTCTGATTCTGGAATACTAGAAGCTTAAAATTTTTTTCCCTTTTTTCTTTTTTATGTCTTACACATTGAAGAAAAGCCTTTTGTCTCTTGAGCAATTGCTATCACCTATCTAAAAGATGAGAGTCAAATTTTTCAAAAAGCAAGGGACCTAAGTTTTCATTTAATTTCTTTGGCATGATCACAGTGACTCTAGCATATATCTGCTTCATTGATGAAGGGCCACAAAAAAGATGAGAAAGTATTTTTTTTTTTTTTTAAATAAGCAATCGTGTATGGCTCAGTGGCAAAGTGCTTGCCTAGCATGCACAAGATCTTGGATTCAGTCCCCAAAATGTACCATTTCTTATGATTAAAGGCAATAGTTCTTAAACTGAAAAAGACCTTTAGGAAGTTATTGTTCCAGTTTTAAACAAGAGTGTCCAAAGAGATGATTAGTCATACTGATGAAGGGGAGACACATATTGAATATCTGCTACCGTCTGTGAAAAGAAGAGTGGGCTGTAAATATAGGTCAGTGGTAGAATCCTTGCCTGGCACATGAGGCCCTGGGTTTGATCCCCAGCACCATAAAATTTTTAAAAAACTAAAAAGGAAAAGGAGTAATGTGGGACTGACTTAATCTTATGAGGGGAAGGGCTTAGCTGTAGTAAGTTACTACATCTGTGGAACAGGGATGGCATTAAAAAAACAAAATCTTGCTTTAACACATGAAGCAAAAGTTTTTGTAAATTGCTTCATAGATGTGAGATTTAGGACTCAAAACATTTGTGGACATGCAGATACTGCTGAGAGTTTGTCTTGATCAGTTTGGTTCACTTTCCTAGTATATTTTTAGTTGTTTTGTTTTTTGTTTTGATGGGAATTGAATGCCAGAGCCTTGTTCATACTATGCAATTTCTTTATCACTGAGCTACATCCCCAGCTCCCTCCTTGTATAATTTATTTTATAATTTTAAAACTTATTGTTTGTTGAGGTACTAGGGATTAAAACTAGGGCCTTACATGTGCTAGGCTAGTAACAATTGATTACCTCTTTGTCTCTTTTTATTTTTTATTTTGAGACAAGTTCTCATTACGTTGCCCAGGCTGGCTTTGAACCTGTGATTCTTATGCCTTAGCATTCTGAATAGCTGGGATTATAGGTGGGTGCCATCACTCCTGGCCTGGTATCATTTTTTTTTTTAATATTTATTTTTTAAGTGTAGATGGACACAACACAATGTCTTTTTTTTTTTTAAGAGAGAGAGGAGAGAGAGAATTTTTAAAAATATTTATTTTTCAGTTTTCGGTGGACACAACATCTTTATTTTATTTTTATGTGGTGCTGAGGATGGAACCCAGCGGCCTGCGCATGCCAGGCGAGCGCATTACCGCTTGGGGCACATCCCCAGCCCCAACATATAATGTCTTTATTTTTATGTGGTGCTGAGGATCGAACCTGGGTCCCGCCTGTGCTAGGTGAGTGCTCTTCCACTGAGCCACAATCCCAGCCCCTGGTATAATTTTTAATAGCACTTATGTTCTCAAGAGCCTCCTGGTTTGGATGATAAATTATATGGTCACATTAGTTACCTATGCCTTATTTTATAAATTAGTCTTCATATTCTTGTCATATAACCTAGTTACTAATTCGCTCTCTTGCTTCTAAACTTGCAAAACATTAGGATCTGTCATTTGTCATCAAATATTTAGTACTTGCTAAGTATACTTAAATGTGTTTTAGTTCTTGGTGCTGTCCTGTACTTAGATTGTGTCACTGTATGCAATTTAAGCAATTGTTAGACTTCCTGGCTTTTAGGTTGTATGTGTTTTGAAACCTTTTTTTTTTTGGTTACAAGGGATTCAACCCGGTTACTTTACCACTGAGCCATATCCCCAACCCCTATTTATATTTTATTTAGAACAGGGTTTTGCTGAGTTGTTAAGGGCATTGCTAAGTACTAAGGCTAGCTTTGAGCTTGTGATCCTCATGCCTTAACCTCTTGAGCTGCTGGGATTACAGATGTGTGCCACAGTGTCCGGCTCCAAATATTTTTTTTTTGATTGAATTAATTTTGAATAGAATCCATAAGCAGGATAAATTTTATTTGAGGAAGCTTTTAAAACTTAGTACTTGTGCAGAGATGGTTAAATTTTCTTTTGTTTGTCTTTGAAACAGGATGATGATTGGGGAAACATCAAAATAAAAAATGTAAGTATTAAGAACACTTCCTACAATGCAATATCATAATTATTACACCAAAAATAAATTCCAAATAACTTTTTTTTTATAATGTATATCCATGTGTTCCAGTACCATTTATTGAATACTTTTCTTTTTCCATTGAATTGTGTTAGTTTTTCTTGAAAATCAATTGTCGGTCTAATTTTGGATTGTTGTTTCATTGATCTAGTTGATTAAAGTTATACTACTACCACATGGTCTTGATTATTAAAGCTTTATATTAAAAGTCTTAAAAATTTCCAACTTTTTCTCCTTTTAAAAGACGACTTTAGCTCTTATGTATTTGCTTATAATTTTAGAATAAGTATGTTAATTTATTTTTTTTTATAATTTTTTAAAAATACTTTTCTCTTAGCTGTTGATAGATCTTTATTTTATTTATTTATACATAGTGCTGAGACTTGAACCCAGTGCCTCACACATGCAAGGCAAGTGCACTACCACTGAGCCACAGTCCCAGCCCAAGTATGTTAATTTCTACAAATTGACTACTAGGATTTTGCTTGAAACTTCATCAAATCTAAACTCAATTTTGGGAGAATTTAATGTCTATTAAAATCCTTAAATAGTCGGATGTGGTGGCACACACCTATAATCCCAGCAATTTGGGAGGCTGAGGTAGGAGGATTGCAAGTTCAAGGCCAACCTCAGTAACTTAGGATGATCTTGTCTCAAAATAAATCAAAAGGCCTGGATATGTAGCTCAGTGGTAAACCACCCTTGGGTTCAGTCTCTAGCACCAAAAAATAAGTAAATGAATAAATAAATAAATTCTTAAGTTTATTTAGGTCTTTATTTTGTCTTTGGGTTGTAGGTTTTTCGTTTAGAATCTTTTATGGTTGTTGTTAGATTCTTAGAACAAGGTTTCTTTGCTGTTGAATGATATTTTATAAAATGTGTTTTTCAGCATTTATTGCTAGAATGTAAAAAAATATGATTGATTTTCCTAAGTTTGTTTTCATCCTGAGATCTCATAATTAATTCATTTAATAGTTCCAATAACTTTTTGGATTTAGATTTGATGTTTTCTGTGTACATAGGCATATTATCTGAAAATAATGAGTTTTACTTTTTCCTTTCTTTTTTACTTCTTTTTAAAATTATTGTTGACATAATTGATAAACAAATGACTTCTAATTTCATTTTCTTTTATAACTTCTTGCTAGGACTTCTAATACATTAATATTGAATAGAAAGTGATGAGAGTAGACATCTTTTCCTACTTCACTAAGATTTAAATTATGAATGGCTATTGAATGAAGCACTTTTTCTGCTTCTGGTTAAAATGATCACATGATTTTTCTTTTGGTAATTTGGTTATCCCCCATATACCCTTTTACACTGGGGTCTTATCCCAGGGCTGGTGCCTGCTAGGCAAGCACTTCAAACTGGGTTCAAATGATCCTCATGCCTCAGCCTCCTGAATAGCTGGTATTATAGGTGTGTGTCATTGGGCCCAGCAATTTTTAATTGGTAAACCTTTGCATTTCTGGAATGTGCAGTTCTCAAACCCCTTTGCATACTTTATGGATCGAAAACTCCAAAGAGTTTTGTATATATCCATTGATATTTATCATATTAGATGTTAAAGCTGATACATTTTAAAATATTCATTCATTTAAAAATAATAACGGGACTGTGGATACAGCTCAGTGGTAGAATGTGTCCTTAATATCTGCAAGGCCTGGGGTTCAATCTACAGCACCATAAGTAAGTACATACATATATCTAAAACTGAATTAACAAACTAAACATCTAAAACCTAATATAATCAATGGATTGTTCATTTCATATTTAAAAAATATTTTTCAACACAAAAATGTAGTAAAGGAACTGGCATTGTTATAAATATTTGCAAATCGTGTGTGTGTGTGTGTGTGTGTGTGCGTGCGCGCGCGCGCGCGCGCGCGCGGGGGGCATTTTAGGAATTTCACCTGAGGCACTCTACCATTGAGCTACACTTCCATTTCTTGATTATTTTTATTTTGAGACAGGCAGGTTGTTGAGGCTGGCCATGAAATTGTGATACTCTTGCCTCGGAGTCCTGAGTTGCTGGGATTATAGGTGTGCGCCACTGTGCCAGGCAATTTTTGACTTGTTTCATAGAAAACAGTTAAATTCTGTACTTTCTTTTATATTGAATCTGTTGTGATGTGTTGCTTTAGTTTATGCCTCACGTAGTCATACAGGTGGAAAATGAAGTGTCTTTTCAGAAAAAATTATAGGTATCCTTTCACAGAATACCAAAATTCAACACATAGTAGTTTATTTAAAAAAWTTTTTTTGAAGATGGAGTCTTGTTATGTTGCCACTGAGCTATATTCCCAGTCTTTTTTATTTTTGTTTTTGAGACAAAAAAATGCCCTGGCAGACCTCAAATTTGTGATCCTCCTGCTTAGCCTCCCAAGTAAGTGAGATTATCACCATGCCTATAAATGAGATGTTTTTGCTTGTTGTGTTTTGATCAGTGTGCTAAGGATTTATCAGTAAACCTTTCCAGTTCTTGATTTTGTTGATTTATATTATTGCCCAATTGATATCTACTCTGAAAACTATTTTTTCCTAAGATTTAAATTTATTAACTTCTCTTCTAGTTGCATACATAAGTTTTTTATATATTGTATTTTTATTATCATATAGCAAAGAACATTTTCTAATTTACCTTATGATTTCCTTTTTGTCCCTTGGGTTGTTTAGAATCAGGTTAATTTCCAGTCATTTGAAACTTTTCCTAGATATGTGCTATTGATTTCTAATTTCTTGTGGTCAGATAACATGCCCACTGTTATTATAGTCTTCTAAAGTTTATTGTTACTTGTTTATATCTAATTATTTGTATGTGTTCTCGGTTGTCAGATAAAATGTTCTATAAACTATAAATGTCAGTTAGGTCCTGTTGGTTTATATTGTTCAAGTCCTCTATATCGTTATTGCTTTTTTTTGTTTGTTTACTTGTTTTGTCTACTTGTTTAGCAAGTGCATTCAAATCTCCAGCTATAATTGTGGATTTGATTATTTCTCCTTTTAGTTCTGTCACCTTTTGCTTCATAGATTTTGATATTTTCTTATTAGATACACAACATAGGATTGTTATGTCTTCATGAACTGATCTTATTTAATTATGAAATGTTCTTTATTTCTGCTAAATTTCTTGTTCTGAGATTTACTTTGTCTTTTTTTTATATGACCACTAACTGTTTTTTAAATCATTGTTTTCATTTTCCTTTTGCTTTTAGTCTGTTTCTTTATATTTAAAGTTAATTTTTAAAATATAGCATCTAGTTGGGTCTGGCTTTTTTATTCAATCTAGAATCTTTTCCTTTTAATTGGAGTATTAGATCATTTATGTTCAATGTAATTATTGATATGTTTGGGTTTACGATTACCATCTTGCTATTTTTTTTTTTGCTGCTGTTGTTTTTTTGTTGTTTCAGAGATTGAACCTAGGGGCACTTAACCACTGAGCCGCATCCCCAGCCCCTTTTTATATTTTATTAGAGACAGGGTCTTGCTGAGTTGCCTCACTAATTTTCTGAGGTTGGCTTAGAACTTGCAATCCTCCTGCCTCAGCCTCCTGAGCCACTGGGATTATAGGTGTGCACCACCGCATCCAACTTAAATGTGTTCTTTAAGTTAACATTAAGTGGGTAGAGTATATTTAAATGAATAAATAAATGAATAAATTTCTCAGGTTTAATTTTTTAAAAAATATATTTATTTTTTAGTTTTAGATCGATACAATATCTTTATTTTACATTCTTGTGGTGCTGAGGATCGAGCCCAGTGCCTCGTTTATGCTTTGCGAGCACTCTACCACTGAGCCACATCCCCAGCCCTCAGGTTTAATTTTTTTTTTAGAGAGAGGGAGAGAGAGATAATTTTTTAATATTTATTTTTTTAGTTTTCGGTGGACACAACATCTTTATTTTATTTTTATGTGATGCTGAGAATTGAACCCAGCGCCCCGCACATGCCAGGCAAGCGCACTACTGCTTGAGCCACATCCCAATCCCAGGTTTAATTTTTAATGTGATAAATATTGATAGATAAAATCCACATAACCAAAGCTCTTTGAAATCTTTTTATTACTTCACAGTGAAGCAGGGATCATCGAATTATGAATTGCAGTCTAGAAATGTCCTGTAGCCTATTTTTTTCATTCTGAAAGTTAAGAATGGGTTTTTGAATTTCAAACAATTGGGAAAAATAACAAGAATATGCAACTGTGTGACTCACCAAGTCTCAAATATGTATCATATAGTCCTACTGGGGAAAGTTTGTTAATTCCTGATATTGAGCGGTCTTAAACAGTATCTTCAAATTGTTACTATAAGGGTGTGTGTGTGTGTGTGTGTGTGTGTGTGTGTGTGTGTATCTTCAAATAACAAATGACTTTGGTCTGTTATAAACTATTTTACTACATAATCAACAGATTTTATGCTAAATTTTTTGCAAAAAATGTGAGATAATTGCTGGGACGCCTGTAATCAGTCAGTAGAATAATTTAATATGTGTTCTTTTGTTTCTTTTTACTGGATGTAAACATTACCAACTTTTAGGCTTTTCATGAAATTATTATTATTTTTTTTAAATAGGGAATTACTCTACTAATGATGGGGTCAGCAGATGCTCTTCCGGAGGAACCCTCATCTAAAACTGTCTTCGTAGAAGACATGACAGAAGAGCAGTTAGCATCTGCTGTAAGATATGATCACATTTTGCATTTCTTCACTACTTTTGGAAAGACAATTATTAAAATGTCTTTCAGAAAGTAGCACCTAAACAATTTAATCATTAATATCAAGATGTGATTTTGGCAGTAAATAAGAGTTATTATTATTATTAAATATTTATTTTTTAGTTATAGGTAGACACAATGTCTTTTACTTTATGTTGTGCTGAGGATTGAACCCGGTGCCTCATGCATGCTAGGTGCACGCTCTACCTCTTAAGCCACAACCCCAGCCCAAGAATGTTGTTATTTTTGAAATTAGCTTATAATAAATCATACAATTAGATTTTTTAAAAATACTTATTTTGTAGTTATAGGTGGCCACAATATCTTTTGAAATAGTCATTACACCTTGATTGTTATTGCTTTCTTTTTTTAAAATTTTTTTGGTAGTTGTAGATGGACATCATGCCTTTATTTTATTTGTTTATTTTTTTATGTGGTGCTAAAGTTTGAACCCAGTATTTCACATGTGGTAGGCAAGCGCTCTGCCACTGAGCTACAGCCTCAGCCCTGTTATTGCCTTTCTAACTTGCAAATGAATTTATTTAGGCTTTACTTCCATTTAACTTTAAAAATAAAGTTAATAAGTTAGGGCTTATGCTTGTAAGCCTCAAAACTATGAGGTTTTAAGGACTGTAACTTTACAGATAAGAGTTGTAGGATGTACATAAAGTTATAAAGTAAATTAATATCTGCAATAAATATCTGGCAGATAGCACTGTTTAAATACTGTTTACTATTATCTTAATGAGAAAACAGATTCAGAGAGTACTTTAAATGCTAGGGTCTTTAAATTCTCAAGTGCTCCATGTTAAATTATCTAATTACCCTGAAGCTTCTTTTTTTTTTCATTTACAGTGCTGGGAATCAAACCCAGTGCTTTGCTTGCTTTTTGTGCTCTACCAGTGAGCTATGACCCAGCCCATATCTTGAATATAAATGCAGAATTAGTGTAAAACTGGCCAATACATATGAGTCAATATTTTTTTTAACATGTACCATTTAGTCACATCATTCTTTTTTTTGTTGTTGTTGTTAGTTTTTTGGGTGTTTTTGCATTGCTTTTATGCATATTTTGCTTCCCTAGTCTGTTTATAAGCTTGCAAAGGAGGTAGGACGGATATGGTAGTTCGTATTCTCAAGAAAGGAATTAAAACAGAATTAATGCCAGCATGATGCAAATAAAATTTCTTTGTTGGTTGAAGGTGCAATATAAGTTGTTAGGCACTGGTAAATGGTACTTGATTTGATGTGTGAACTTTAGTGATTTATATATGCCATGTCATTTTATAAATATGAATTAATTCTCTTTTAAAATCAGATGGAATTACCATGTGGGTTGACAAATCTTGGTAACACTTGTTACATGAATGCTACAGTTCAATGTATTCGATCTGTGCCTGAACTCAAAGATGCCCTTAAGAGGTAAGACTAAAGAGAAATGGTTTAAATTCTGGATGAGGAAGGTTCACATTTGGGTGGATAGTAGTATTATTTTGTTTTTTAGCATCTTTATTGAGATATTCATTTATCATACCAATGCTTTTTTCAAGTGTTCAGTGGTTTTTATTATATTTATAAGGTTGTGCAGCTCACTGCAGTCTAATTTTAGAATCCATCCCTCCAAAAGGAAACTTATTACTTGTTGCCAATTACTTCTTAATATTCTTCCACCCACCTCTAGTGCCAGGTGACCATTAATCCACTTTCTGTCTTATGAATTTGCCCATTCTGGGCATTTCTTTCTTTCTTTCTTTTTAGTTTTTTTTTTAGTTGTAGGTGGACACAATACCTTTATTTTTAATTTATTCATATGTGGTGCTGAGGATTGAACTCGGCACCTCACATGCACTAGGTAGGCACTATACCACTGAGCAACAGCCTTAGTCCTGGGCATTTCTTACATGTAAATGGAATCATACACTGTGTGGCTTTTGGAACCAGCTTCTTTTTCACTTAGCATAATAATTTCAAGGTTTATTCATGTTGTAGGATATGTCAACATGTCATTCCTTTTAAAATATTTTATTGTATATGTTTATAAAATTTTGTTTACCCATTTGTTTTGTTGAYGGGCATTTGGATTGTGTCTACTTCTGGGCTGTTGTGAGTAGTGTTGCTATGAACAGATATTTATAAATTTTTGCGTGGACAAATTGTTTTCATTTCTCTTGGTTATATACCAGAGTGGATTGCTCAGACGTATGTTAACTCTGTTTAACATTTTGAGGAACTGTCAAACTATTAAGTAGCTGCACCATTGTACATTCTCACTAGAAATATAAGAATGTTATAATTTCTACACATCTATACCAATAGTTATTGTCATGATAAATAAGCAGTGGGGAAAAAAAAAACCTGACATACAAATCAGTAAAATGTTGAGGCATTCTCCAGGGCACAATATATAAATCTTTCTTGAAAACATGGAGAAAAAATTAGACATGAAATATAGTTCTAGAGGGCTGGGGCTGTGGCTCAGTGGTAGAGCACTCACCTAGCACATGCGAGGCCCTGGGTTCCATCCTCAGCACCCCATAAGAATAAATAAATAAAATAAAGATATTGTGTCCAACTAAAAAATAAATATTAAAAAAATATAGTTCTAGAAATGTTAATATTTATAGTATAAGAAGTAGCTAGTCTTGTGTGCATACGGCCCTGGGTTCAATCCCCAGCACACCAAAAAAAAGAAGTAGCTAGATAGAGGACAGGTAATATCTAAAAGTTTCCAATGAGTACTAGGATAAGTTAAAAGAAACCCCATGCTTATATTTTTAGAAAATTTTGAAAAACAAAAATAGCCCTAAAAACTACAAACAGGGGCTTTGGGGTTGTGGTTCAGTGATAGAGTGCTTGCCTAGCACTTGTGGAGGCACTGGGTTTGATCCCTACTACCACGTTAAAACAAACAAAATAAAACAAAAAAACTAAATAAAACTACTAACAGAAAAGAATCAGAATCAAGACTGATATAGGTCCTCATCAGTGAGCATAAACACATGAAATTAGTGGAAAAATACCTATGAACCACCAAGGAAAAATAACTGTCAACGGGTTTTGTTGTTGTTGCTGATGTTCTTGTTCTTTTTCTCCCCCCTCTCCTCCTCCTCTTCCCTCTCCTCTTCCTCCTCCTCCTCCCCCCACTCTATTCTCTCTTTGGTTGTAAATCCTGCTTTCATTTCTCTGAAATTTGGAAGTATTCTTACTTTTTTTTTTTTCTATTTGATCCTTTAAGTGCAGAATGCTTTGCATTTTTTTTAAATCATGGCAGTTTCAAAAGGATGTAAACAAACATGAAAATAAAAAACACTTCAGTTGGATATAGTTTAACATATTTTTTTTCTGTGATCTCTTTCATTCTACTTATGTTAGCACAGAGTTTTGCTTTTTTAAAATTGAGACATAACAGATCTAGAGAAATGTATATACCTTAAGTACTCAGTGTGGCCAGTTTTTTTGTTCTTTGAGTTTTACATTTGCTCTGTAATCTGTTTCCTATCAGAATATAGAACATTTCAGGCATCCTAGAAAGTTTTCTTATGCTTTTTTTCAGTGAATCCTCATCCTTTCTACTCACCTTTAGCAACTTTTGATTTCATTTTATTCTGCACATTCTGGAAATTAAAATAAATGGAATCATACAGGTTGTACTTTTTTTTTTTTTAAGTCTGACTTGTTTCAGCAAAAAGTTTTTGAGATTTGTTCACATCATTGATTGTATTAGTAGTTTGTCCATTCTTATCAGCGTTGGGTTTTATTGATCTTTTTCCTTTTAGTCTCTATAGTGGTGTGTAGCACATAAGCATGGTTTTCATCACCGTGAATGTATGGTTGCTCTCCTTCCTCGGTGTTTGTTATGAATGATAGTTTCTGATCCTTTGTTATAAGATACTATATGAATAATGATTGGTTTATTTCCTTTGGATGATTATTCTATTGTACTATTGTAAATTAACTTGGCATCATAAATCTGAAAAATGAATTTAAAATTCCTTTAATAGAAACTCTTTATTGATGAGCAAACTGACTTGAAACTTAAATGACATCTTTAATATTATATAGGAAGTTAATGCTGAATGTAGTCATATGATTTTTTGACTTAAGCATTTTTTTAACCATATAATGCTTAAATGAGCGAGACAAGAAGAGAAAAAATACTCTTGAGAATCAGTTGAAGGGTGTCATCAGTTCTTTTAATTGATTTCTTCTCATTTGAGTTTCAAGATGAGTTTCATCTTATTGTTTAATTCTGTCATAACTTTCCTAGGTATGCAGGTGCCTTGAGAGCTTCAGGGGAAATGGCTTCAGCACAGTATATTACTGCAGGTCAGTATGATAAATAGACTACTTATAATATTCAATCAATGTTACTTTTCTCTTATTTTTCAGCTACCTTTTCAATTTACAAAATGTATTTTGTACATTACTTCATTAAAATTTGGAGTACTTTTATATTTCACATTAAATAACTTGAAACTTATTAAACAAATTATAAACCAGTGATTTTTTTTTTAAAATAATATTTGGATCTTTTTGGATTGAATTATTATTTTGATTTCAGGTTCTATTAGATACATTTATGTTTGGGAATGACTTTGGGGATAGCCAGAAATAAGTTTTATCATGGTTGATGTGATCATTATGAAAGTCTTAGTGGTTGTTAGTATAAAGAAGTTATGTGTATGAAGAGAAATAGAAAAGAAAAAATTTTAATTTTATTTTTTTTGGTCGTGCTAGGGATAGAATCAAAGGGCTTCATGTGTGTTGAGCATGAACTCTACCATTGAGCTATACAGCCCTAGAAATTCTTAAAGGGTAGAAATACCTTGTTTCTTTTTTATATGAGAATAATTTTGGATCTTTTTATACGTGAGTACTCTCTGAAATAATTGGAATAGATTGATAGGGTTTTGCAGCCATGCTTTTTTCCCCCAACACCTTTATTGCAATATAATTCACATACCATACATTCACCCATTGAAGTGTACTATTCATTATTTTCTAATATATTCACAGTATTGTCTGAATGTCACCACAGATAATTTTATAACATTTTTATTACTTCAAGATAAACAAACCCCTCTGTAATGCAATTCCATAACACTGAGCAGTCATCTTCCCCCCTCTAATCTGCTTTTAGTCTTACAGATTTGCCTATTCTGGACATTTTCTGTAAATTATATAGACTATTGCAGTGTAATCTTTTCCTTTAGTTCATATGATGTTGTCAAAGATAATCCACATTGTAGCATTTATCAGTACTTCATTCTTTTTATTGCTAAATAAGCTTCTATTGTATGGACATGTCACATTTCATTTATTCATCATCTGTGGACATTTGGATTGTTTCTCCTTTTTGACTTATGAATATGGCTAATGTTGGTGTGTTAATATTTGTGTGAATACGTGTTTTCATTTATCCTGGGTATATAAATAGGAGTGGGATTTGTGGATCATAAGGTAACTTAATATTTAACCTTTTGAGGAAACTGCCAGACTGTTCCCCAAAGGATCTGTACCGTTTTACATGCCCTGTAGTGATATAGTAGGGTTTTGATTTTTCCACATCCTTGTGAACATTTAGTATTATGACTTTTTTACTTTAGCCATCCCAGGGGTGCAAGGTGGTGTCTCATTGTTGTCAACCATTAATTTTTAGTACTATAAACAGTAGGGTTTTTTTGCATCATTTCGAGTTAAATTTTAACCTGAACTTCTATATTTGTTTTATTTCTTAAGTTTTCAGTGACAAAGTTGATCATTTATATCTAGTTCATTTGATTTTTTTTCTTTTTGTATATTTAATAAGAGTAATTCAGAATTTCAGCAACTTGTCCTGCATCTTATAGTAGGTTTATAGTATTGGTGGGTGAAAGTACTATTTTTTACATTTTTGCTTGTGTGTGTGTGTGTGAGTGTGTGTGTGTGTGTGATAGAGCATCCCGAGTTCAATCCCCACTATCACTGAGCTCCCAGACCCCCTGTCTTTTTAAAATTAGGGTCTTGTTAAGTTGCCAAGGTTGGCCTTGAACTTGAAGTTTTCCTACCTTCCAAATATTTTTGCTTTTTGCCTTTAAAATTTTTATTTTGAAATTTAAATTTACAGAATTTAAGTATATATGAATTTTCCAGTTACTTTTTATCACATCTATTTAGTTTCTTGTTTCTCTGTACTGCTTGCAGTTTTCTTCTGACTCATTTTAGAATAAGGTACCAGACATGTCTTTTATTCTTGAATATTAATTATTTCCTAAGAATAAGGATGTTATTTATAACTGTAAAATAGTGATCCATTTTCAGAATCTGGGAGTTTAACACTTTACTGTTCGATGTTTAAAAATACAGACTTCACTCATTGCCACTGTCCCACTATTTTTCATTACAATGTTTTTATCAGCTTCAGGATCACACATTGCATTTAGTTACTGTTGTCATTTACTGCCATACACCTTGAATGTGCCAGTCTCATCTGGCCTTGGAAGTTTTGTTGTCATGTCTTATTAGTCTTTCAATCTGTGTTGTGTGGTTTTTTTTCTTTCTTTTTTTTTTTTGGTAGTCCTGGGAATTGAACCACCCAGGGACATTTTTCCACTGAACTGTACCCTCTGCCCTTTTTATTTTGAAACAGGTTTGCTAAGTGGCTGAGGCTGGCCTTCAACTTACAATGCTGCCTTAGCCTCCTGAGTTGCTGGGTAATCCCAGAATGCCTATCTTCTTAATATTTTAGTTTAATATTTTTTAAACATCCAGTTTAATTTTTTTATTCAAGAACAATTTATTGAGCCTCTGCAATTATGACAGATGAATGACATTTTACATCTTAGATGTTAATAAAACAATACAAGATAAAATTGGTCCGAGTTTTGCAATACATGAAGAAAAGGTGAGGTGTGATAGATATGAAGTCAGCAGAGGAAAGGTATTCTGAATTAGCATAGCTAATTTCAAGACTGAGGTTTAAGGCTGGTAGGTGAGGATTAGTGGGGAAAGGTTTTGAAGAAGGTTTTGGTTCTTAGATGTTTGATGGAGTAAAGAAATGTATAAGGATTCATATTTCAATATTCAAGAGTTCATTAGATAGGAACCAACTGTGTGTTTAAAGGAAGGTAATTTGAAAGTGGTGATCTCATGGCCTAATAATGGCAGAATGGCAGAACAGTGATGATATGCTTGTTTGATTCTTAGACAGAGGTTATGTGTTCTCTGTATTGAGTTAATACACCCTGCTTTGTTTGGGGAAGACAAAGGCTGGCAAGGAGAAAGAGCAGCAGGGCTCAGAAGTTGTTTATAGCTAGTGATTGCATTGTAAAGACATCTGGTGAATTCTTCAAGATTTAAAAATGAGTATCTTAGTAGTAGTACAACAATTATGAAAGAATAGATATACTTAAATATAGTTGAGCAGGGTTTTTTAAATTTAAGAATTAAGAATTTATTAAATATGTATTAAATATGTTATTATACTAAGGCAATATTTGCTTTGTTTTTAAGCCCTTAGAGATTTGTTTGATTCCATGGATAAAACTTCTTCTAGTATTCCACCTATTATTCTACTGCAGTTTTTGCACATGGCTTTCCCACAGTTTGCGGAGAAGGGTGAACAAGGACAATATCTTCAACAGGTAATTAGGGCAAAATTTTTTTCATTAAATGTAAACTTAGGTTTCCTATATTTATTACTTAATATATTTGGAAATACAAATATCAGTCTGCTCTTTTTTTATAAAGGTTTTTTTTTAAAGATGGACACAATATCTTTATTTATTTATGTATGTATGTATGTATGTATGTATGTATGTGGTGCGGATCGAACCCAGTACCTCACAGGTGCGAGGCAAGTGCTCTACCGCTGAGCTATAACCCCAGCCCTTCAGTCTGCTCTTATTCATAACAAAATATTCTCTTGCCTAGAGTTGGGTAGTAGCCTGTCAGTTCTCACCTTGCTTGTGCTTTTGCTCCTGGTGGTGTTTTTCCATATAGCTCCTAGTCCTTATAAAAATGTAAATAGGACTGGGGATTTGGGTCAGTGGCAGAGCACGTGCATATCATAGGTAAGGCCCTGAGTTCTGTCCCCAGCACAAACTCAAAAAGAATAGATTCCTGTTGGGTCTTTATTTAGTACCCGGTAATGATTTTTCTACCATAGTCCTAAATCACACTAGCTTCCTGCTGCCTCTCTGAGCTTATCAGTACTACTCCTTTCCTTGCTTAACCTCTCTCCAGCCAAATGACTTCATTGGCCTTCTTTAAACCCTTCTCTTCCAGTAGTGTCTTTTTTTCTTGTTCCCTTTGCTGACAGATGTGTGTGTGCCTGGCCCCCTCAGGTCTCACACCTGGAGTGTCTTAACATTCTAACGTCCTTCCCTTCCCACAGTCACTTTCTGCTCCCATACTGCTTTTTTTTTTTTTTCCTCATAGACCTTGTTTCTACCTGAATTATATTTTGTGTATCTGTGATTGCCACTGGGACTACTACTTCTTCTTCTTCTTCTTCTTCACTATGTATTTTAGATATCTATAATAGTAGCACAAGTACCAGCAAGTAGGAGCTCAATAAATATTTGCTGAATGAATAACCATTCTGGAACTTTTTTTTAAAGATCTTATCAAATTTTTAAGAAATCACTTTTCCCCTTTGGAAATAGTAATTATTTTGGAAGGATTTATTGACCAACCACTGTCACTGCTTGGATTACTGTGTTGTTTCTTTAAAAATTACAGGATGCTAATGAATGTTGGATACAAATGATGCGAGTATTACAACAAAAATTGGAAGCCATAGATGATGATTCTGTTAAAGAGGTACTTAATGCATTTGTGATTATAGACTTTCATTATATCATTCACTGTTGGTTTTTATTTTATCCCCCAAAAGATTAAAAATAAATTTATCTTAATAAGTAGATATGCATTTGAATGCTTTTAGATGGTCAACCTGTGGTTGATAGATTGAATCTGATATTTAATTTAGTGCATTTTTATTAAGCTTAATTTATTAATATTGATGTAATGTTAATATTGTATTATATTGTAATCTTAATTTTAATATTGTATCTGTAATCTTTTGGTAATATTTGTGAATCAGAAGGAGTTTACAGAATTGGACTACATTTAAAAACATCTTAAATATGTATTGCTAAACTGGCTTGTGTAAAAGGAAAAATACATTAATATCTATACAAAGTAAAACTGGAATTTTAATTTCATTTTAATTTTGCAGTCAGATTCTTCATCTGCATCAGCAGTGACACCTTCTAAAAAGAAAAGTTTAATTGATCAGTTCTTCGGTGTTGAATTTGAAACAACGTATCCTTATGAGCCAAGATTTGTATAGACTATAACTTAAGAAAAAGTAAATTGGTATGTTTGCTTAGGTAGCATATAAACTAAAATTGGAACCATACAGAGACAATTAGCRTAGCCCCTACACAAGAATAACATGCAAATTTGTGAAGTGTCCCATATTTTCTTTGAAATATTTTAATTTATTAATAGTCCATAGTTACTATCTTATGAAAATATATTTTGCTACATTTTTTTAAATAAAAAGGTAAATTGACATAAATAGCATAGTTGGTTGATTGGTATGGTGGATAGCATAGAAAAAAATTCTTCAGAGGTTTTCTTTTTTTTTTCCTTTTTAAATAAATTTTTAAAAATATATATTTATTTTTATGTGGTGTTGAGGATCAAACCCAGTGCCTCACACATGATAGGCAAGTACTCTACCACTGAGCTACAGCTACAACCCCCTTCAGAGGTTTTCATGCCTAAAAAATACAAWGGAAATAAGAAATTTATAAAAATATATATATTAGAGTGATCTTGAAGTTTAGATAAATGTATTTACTGTAATAATAGGACTTTTCCCTAAGAGCATCTTGAACATCTTTTCTAGAATCTCCATCATTATCTCATAGAGAATTTTTAATGTATGAAATGAAGTGTTTTAATTACATTATGTAAACAAGATGGATCCAGTTTATAAACATGAATTCAAGAAAGGATTATTTTCTAGTTTATGGGTAGAAACTTAGAAAAGATTTGTTTATTTTTGGGTTATTAAGGCCATTTTAAGATCATAGTAAATACCAACATATTTGTTGATTTTATTGCAATTTATATTTAATATAATCATTACTTATAAAGTCATTGGTAGGCTTATGAACATTTGAAGTATAGTGAAGTGAAACTATTGGGAGACCAATACCTTTTAAATGATTATTAATTTAATCAGTGAATGATTATTAATTTAATAGCATTAGGATAATTTAGTATATTTAAGATTAAAACAAATCGAATACCTTTTGGCATTCCTTATCTTATTTTGCAAAGCATGAAATGTACAGAATCTGACGAAGAAGAAGTTACCAAAGGAAAGGAAAATCAACTTCAGCTTAGCTGTTTTATCAATCAGGAAGTCAAGTACCTTTTTACAGGACTTAAATTGGTAAGAACAGTCAAGGTCAATTCTCATTCTTTACAGATTCTGTGTTTGTAAAAATGCCTGCTTGCTAAAATTTATTTGTAACCCCAAAGACAATACTCATTGTGCTTAATAATGACTTGCAGACACACTGTAGAACAACACAAATTTTCAGTTGCCTGACACATTCAGTCCCAGCCAAGGTCTAACAAGGAAATATTCTGCCTTCATTTTTCAATTTGCATACTATATGCAAGTATCCTTTTTTTAATAATAATTTTTTTGGTGATTTCAATGTCTAATATGATCTCTAAGCATAGTGCTGAAGTGCTGTCTGTGTCTTAAATGTGGGATGGCTGTGATGTACTGGAGAAAATACATATATTAGAGGAGTATCATTTGCACGTTAGTTATGTTGCAGTTGGCTATAAGTTCAGTGTTAATTGAATTGACGCTATATATGAAATAAGGTGTCTTTAAACTCAGTTGCACATAAAACAAGGTTATGTGTTGATTGATTGATGGAAAGATTGTGACCAGAGGCTTGCAGGAACCTAACTGAGTTTTTGCTAGGGACAGTGGTTTGGTATTTACAATTTAGTGCTTATGGTGACAGTGTAAACATGAGCACTGTGAATAACAAGAATCAACGGTAAATTCAGAAATCAAACCCTCAGGATTTCATTTCACAGGCAAAAGCACTATTGACATGGTTGCTTAAATCATGACATACAAGTTCAGGGCATCAAATAATGAAATACAAGTGTTAATTTGAGAGTTCGGAATGTAATGCTTGGACAAGGACTCTTCAAGATGACATTTTCTTCATAATTTTGTAAAATTATAGAAAAATACACTTGGAAGTTCTGTAGGAAGGCTGGTTGGTGATAATAGGTTAGCTTGATTGATGATTGTCAACACACCAGCAATGCTATCTTGAAAAACATGTATTTTTGAGGTGTATTTATTTATAATTTTTAAGGTTTTTGTCATTAAAGTGATTAATAATTTTTAAAAATAAAACTTAAAAAAATTAATACATATATCATGCTTAAGTATAAGTTGTGTTTTAAAAATATTTATTTATTTACTTTTTTAGTTATAGTTGGACACAATACCTTTATTCCATTCATTTATTTTTATGTGGTGCTGAGGATCAAACCCAGGGCCCCGTGCATGCTAGGTGAGCGCTCTACCACTGAGCCACAATCCCAGCCCCAAGTATAAGTTGTTTTTAATTCAGATTTCTTTTTTTGTTTAGTAGTGCTAAATTTTACTACAAATTATTGAGGCTAAGTTTTTAATTTATAACATTGGAAGTAATAGCTGATCCTTATTGAATATATAGTATATGCCAAGAAGTTTCCCAGGTTTTCTGTGTGTACTAACTTGTGTACTTCTAACAGCAGCACTATAATGTGTTTCATTATTACCTTTAACAAGTGATAACCCAGAGGGGATTAATATCTTGCCTAAAGTTACATAGGCTGTCAAAAGTGGAAAGGTGATTGTGCTAGTTGAAATATGCATAGTGGCTAAAACTTCCTCACATCCTATAGATTAACAGAGATTTCTGTGTTATTCTCAGATTCAGAAATACACGATTGATGTTGGAAGGTTTTGTATATAAAGCATAAAGAACAAGGATTCCTACAGTCTCTTAATTTTTCTGAGTTTTTTGATAATAATAGAGGAATGACAGAAGACTTTGTTATATAAAATATAATATTCTCTGAAACTGAGCAATATTTGGATCATAAGTTAAAAACTTGAAACATTTTATATTCAGGAGTTCTCAACAGTATAAATTATTTGAAGCCTTAAACAATATCTAAATGTCTTCTATCACATTGTTTTTTCTAATGATGTAAATTCATTGACATACTATGTTGTCTATTAAGTAATGCTATTTTTTATTTAAATTTTTTTTAATTGTAGACGGACACAACATCTTTATTTATCTATCTATCTATCTATCTATCTATCTATCTATCTATCTATCTATTTATTTATTTATTTGTATGCGGTGCTGAGGATTGAACCCAGTGCCTCATACATGCTAAGCAAGCACTCTACCATGGAACCACAACCCCAGCCCCCTAGTGCTGTTTTTTTAAAAAAAAGAATTAAAGATGTGATTCTATGTTGCAGATAGAAGTCATTTTAAAACTTTTTTTTTTTTATAGCGGCTTCAGGAAGAAATCACCAAACAGTCTCCGACATTGCAAAGAAATGCTTTATATATCAAATCTGTAAGTTGTACATTTCCTTTTGAAATTGAATTTCATTTTATTGAGAAGTTTCCAGTTTTACCCAATCTTTGTTTCTACCACCAAAGAGTTAAAAACTTGTATGGTATTCATCTATATAAAGGATTTCTTTCTATTTTTTTTCTCCTCAGTCCAAGATCAGCCGGCTACCTGCTTACTTAACTATTCAGATGGTTCGATTTTTTTATAAAGAGAAAGAATCTGTGAATGCCAAAGTTCTTAAGGTTAGTAGTGAACTTTAGTTTTGCTATAAAACAAAATTCTTTGAAGGTAACTCCTAACTTATAATAGGCTTATTTTTTTCTTTAGGGATAGGTGAGCTTTTTTTTTGAAACATTTAGGGGAGTTATTAACATTAGACATGTGGTTCTAAACAAAGAATGTGTATTAGAATTTTCTTTTGTCCTTTTTATTTTTTTTATTTATTTATTCAATTTTTTTTGGTCCCAGGGGCTCTCAACCATTGAGCCATATCCCCAACCCTTTTTTTCTTTTTCTTTTGAGACAGGGTCTTACTAAGTTGGTGAGGCTGGCTTTAAATTTGCAATCCTCTGGCGTCAGCCTCCCAAACTGCTGGAATTACAGGCATGTGCCATGGTGCTCAGTCCCTGTCTTTTTTATTCTTAATTATATAAATAACTGGCTTCTCCCTCTAGCCCCAAACATCTAATTTAAATTTTGGGTGAAACCTGGGTCTTATATTTATCAAAAGAGTCACAGATAATTCTGATGGATCTCCTGTATTCCCCAGAATCAGATCAGATCTTTCTTTCACTTTTTAGGTACCAATTCAGTAGGTTTGGGATGAGAGTGAGAAAGGAGACCGTAAAGCACACTGCATTATGTTTTAGGTAGTTCCTTTCCTTCAGGTAAAAGGAAAGCAAAATCACTAGTGCTGAAAGAATATTTAAATGATAATCTCATGCTTCTGGAGCCAGCCTTATGATTTCACTGTGTTGAACTGTGGCTCTGCTACAAGTCCACAGAATTCCTGCTCCTTCTGAGAGGTATATAATTCTAGCCTTTTGAGCTGAAAACAGTACATTTTCTTCTTAGCCTTAGTGTTATAAGAGGTTAAATGTAGGTTAAGTATCTAGTGTTTGTCAATATATTTTAATGTAAGTCATTGAACTAACTATTAGTATTGTTTCTAGGTAAAATTGTTTTCAAATTTAAAGAAAGCTGTGATTTAACTCCAGTGTTGGAGATCCATTATTTTCCCAGCAACTAGTCTAATAATTAATTGTGAATTGCTGCTTCTGTCATGAATTTTGGTACCTCTTCTGTGGTCAGTTTCATAAGCTAGCATGTCATGATAAGACATACTTGGAAAGTTTTACCTTAAAGTTAGAAACCGATGGAGAATAAATTCTAAGAGGCCTTATTCAACTGCAGAGTCTTCTGTATGATTTTTACAGATTTCATTTGTAGCTTTATTGAAATTATGAAAACATGACTTTGTTCTTTTAAATATCTATTATATTTTCAGTCTATTTATGTCTTTAATTTTTTTKTTGTTGTTGGTATATAGGATGTTAAATTTCCTCTTATGTTGGATGTATATGAACTGTGTACACCAGAACTTCAAGAGAAAATGATCTCTTTTCGATCAAAATTCAAGGATCTAGAAGATAAAAAAGTGAATCAACAGCCAAATACAGTAGGTTCTTATTGCTGAATTTCTTTCTTTCTTTTTTTTTTTTAAAGAGAGAGACAGAGAATTTTAATATTTATTTTTTAGTTTTCAGTGGACACAACATTTGTTTGTATGTGGTGCTGAGGATCSAACCCGGGCCGCACGCATGCCAGGCGAGTGCGCCACTGCTTGAGCCACATCCCCAGCCCTATTGCTGAATTTCTAATGTTATTATTTTAATCTTAAATCACTGCTCAGCAGTTATTATTTGGACTATTAACCTATAATAAAAATGGAATGAACCTACTTTTCACTTATGACATACATACATTCTACATGTAGTGGTGTAAGCTTTGAAGTTTTTTAAAGATATATTTTAGTTATACATGGACATAATATCTGTATTTTGTTCATGCACCCCAGCCCTCCTTTGAAATTTTTTTTTTTTTAAAGAGAGAGAGAGGAGAGAGAGAGAGAGAGAGAGAGAGAGAGAGAGAGAGAGAGAGAGAGAGAGAGAGAG